CATGTATTTGCCTAATTTCCTGCAGTGCTGACTTAATTAGGTAATTATTCCACCCTCTTATGACCAGTGAATATCCTTATCATCACTATGTCAATATAAAAAAAAAGAACAAACCAACAAACAGAAAAACAAATCAATGAGGTTTTCAGTGGCAATGGGTCATATGAGAGATTTTAAGCGCTGGAAATGAAAATGAAGTTTTTATTGAATGGTTGTAGTATCCTAAGGGCACTCCACTCCCTAAGTTCTTCCCTGCCCCCAGCTGTTTGTTTTCAGAAGGGAAAGACTTTCCCATTTAAAAATTCATTTTCTGATACTGTTTGTTTCTTCCCAGCCTTAAATCGTCGCCTTGATTCTTCCTTTCCAAAGATATTGTCCTTCTTTTATTTTATTAATTTAGCTTTGATTTTTAAATATATTGTTAATTCTGGAGCCTGATATACCAAATAGATGATGATGGTGATGGTGATGATGATGATGATGATGATGATGATGCCCCTTTCCTGCTGATGCAACATTTTACAAAATATATTAAATCCATGATTTTCATCCAGGTCATAACTGGTTGGAAAGGAAAATTCCTGTTCATCATCCCATTCTTCTCCCTCACAACCTCTCCCCAAAAGAAAAAGCTGTACTAAAACTAAAAAAGAGGGTTAGAGCTCTGTTCAGCCTTTGGTAAGAAACTGAAGGTTCTGTGATGGCCATGAAAATATCAGAGGAACATGCACATGTTATTGTAAGGAGAGAACACAGCAATTTATGCTTGATTACGTTCCAGCTCAAATTAATTTATGGAAATAGAATAATAGAATATTTAATAGGAAAATTAGTGCTACCAGTAAGTCATGACATAGGTTATATTTCAGTTTCTTAGACCTCATGTAATGGCTTCTTAGAGATGTGACATCCTATGATGAAACCTTTGACTTTCTATGCAGTAATTAATGTCAAATTTTTCTGTCAGCATCATAGGGGTTTATTCTCTCTGCTTAAGCCTAATTAAGGGTTGAAAATATTTCCAGAGGGCTCAAAGGAATGCAATAAATATTGTGCACAATTTCTTGCTCATTTAAAAGGAACAGAACTTTACAGAACATTTAATTGCAGACTCTGCTGCAGTGCTTTTTCAGGTAACAGCTAACAGCCACGAGTGGCCAAAGGTGCCAGAACTACTTGTGTGCTTCCAAAGGAATAACTTTAATTAGGAACAAGCTTTTTGAGGTCAATATCTTTATTCCAGGGCCTGACTGTGTGCCACACACAATGACTTCACCAAGGGAAAATGTGAGGGGGGTGATGTCTGATTCACCAAGCTGCTTTGTTAACTTCTGCAGGAGTTTGCAGGAATCAGGCTGGTGGGATTTGCCTCTTGCTGCTGGGGGTTTTCCTCTCATTCTCTTCTCTCCTGTACTCCATACAGCTGCCCTGGTCACTTGTAGGAAATAAAAATGTAATGGTTACTTTAGTGTCAGAATTGACCCACTCAAGTAAATGACCAGTTCTGAGGTCCAAACCTTTATTTTGTTATCACACACTGCAAAGTTTGACCTCAGAAGTATTTAGTTAGAAGAATGAGGTCTCTTAAAGGCTCGGTGGTTGGTATTTGGTTTTGGGAGTGATATTTCCACTGACAGGCCAGCTGGGAGAAGAAGGGATTTGTGTTTCTACTTTTCTATCAAATCCATGAATACAGCACTTGTGAATGATGCAATTTAAAGGATCACACCTTACATTAATATTTTCAGAGATTAAAAAATCCCTTCAGGCCATTATTTTACACATCACTTTCCTCAGTCAAGGTGCTCACTTTTTCAAAGAGAAAACCCTCATGAACTTATTCAGTTTCTCCTGAAAATGTTCAAATGTTGGTGTTTTCTGCTTAGTGCATCATCAAAGGTGGGAAACTCTTAATAAATGGCAAATTCTCTGCTACTTTCTGTCCATGAATGCATGAAGTTACTTATTCTCTCCAGTTTTTCTCCCATTTTCAGTTCCTTCCACAGATCTGACTGCTGCAGGTTGGGCTCCCTTTTGGATCTGATTTTTCTCCCCCTTTAGCTCTGTGGATCAACCAATTAATGTTCTCATGTGAGAATGCCAATGCTCAGTTTTGCAACAGCACTGGCTTGAGACACTGTGACAATTCTATTTAGCTTATGGTAAATATTTCAGAAAAGAAAACAAATCCAATCCCTTGCCTTGCAGCTTCATAAACTGTCACAGCAGATGCAGCTGTGTAAAATGGTTTTGAAATCCTCTTTTCTTTTAAATATTTTCACTTCTGGCTTTACATTGTTCCCTTGTTGTTTAAAGCTGCTTTGGATTTCCAGCACCTCCCTTAAATATTGGGAAATCTTGGTACAAAACTAAACAATAGAGTGTAAAGGGCTTCAGTTTCCTTTTGAAGTGAAGGTAGAGCTTGAAGTAGCCAGTGGGACCTCTTAAATCCTGCCTAATTACATTTTCCCTTAAGTGAGGATATATATAGCTCCTAGTCTGCAGAAAAGAGTCATAGGGAATTTTCAAAAAACCCTACTAAATTGTTAATTATCAGTACATCAACATTTTTACTTGGGATAATTTCTCAGTTTGAACTTCCCACTGCAAAGTACAATTTCAGCAATGACTTATGGTCGGCTAAATGTCAAGCTGAATCTCATTAGTGATGAAGCAATCAGCTTTCTGATACAGGTATTTCAGCATTGCATTTGCATATTCAAATTCTCCAACATGCATGAGAAATTGCAATGTTCTGACATTTTATGGTTTTCTGAGAAGCAGTCCTTGAGGAGCTGCAAAAGGAGAATAATGGTAAATAGTGGTGCCATTGCAGCAATAAGGAAAGAGTAAGCAAAATTAAGATTAACTACAAGGAGAACATAGAGCTATTGAAAGTAAATATATTGTATTTTTGAAAAGATTTAGTGTCACAAGAAGTTGTAGGGAGGAAAGAAATGGGATTTTTGGTGGTTTAATAAATGAGGTGAGAATTTTCTCAAGAACTCTTTTAAGTCTGCTGGGCACTATGAAATCAATGGTAGGAAAAAAAAATTAAACTGTTTTTTGATGTGCAGGATGAAAACTGTAGAAAAGTTGTCTGTGAATAATAAAGATAAACAGCAACTACTGAAGAAGAAAAGCCCAGGGTTTCAGTATTTTTGTCATTTAAATATTTTGAGGTAACCTCATCAAAGATCTCATGGAAATAAGCTGCAAATCTCTCTGAAAGAGATTTGGGTGATAACCAATGTCATTGATTCACTGAAAGTTGTCAGAAATGCTTGTGATGTGTTGCCTTTTTTGAATCATCTAAGAATTGAAAATTCATGCTTGTTTCTAGATGTTTTCAGCTGAAAATGGCTGGGATTTATTTTTGTTTCAAACAAAAAATAAGTTGGGGAAAAGAAAAGAGTTCAGAAAAAATGGACTGATGTGACTTTGGGATTTTAAAATGATGATTGAAGGGTCAAATTATGAAAAAAAGCGAATCCACAGTGTGGAACAGGGACCTGAAGATCACAGCTTGATGATTTTTGTTCTAACATATGTCTTCTTGTCCACTTGTCCACTGTCAGGAGTAATATTTCATGTGCAAAAAAAGTTCTTCAGAAAGCAAGAAGACAAAATTTGTGTTGGGATTGGTGTTACCTAGAACAAAAAATTGAGGCAAAATTTTTGTTAGGATTGGTGTTACCTAGAACAAAAAATTGAGGCAAAATTTGTGTTAGGATTGGTGTTACCTAGAAGAAAAAATAGAGTCCATATAATGAGGCAAAATGATCATTTGCCATGGTCAATTGTATTTGCATCTTATCTGCTCCTTCCTTGGAGGAGTTTTGGAAGTTTCATGTTCCAGCACCATTCTATTAAAATTTGGAGAAGATTAAGATATTGGTCTATTTTTTTTGGAAATTTTCAAGTGTTTCCAACTACTAAAGATGGCCTCAGAAGCAGACTATAGGAAAATCTTTGAAGATTCAACATATGGAGAACCCATTGGGAAAATAAGAGGATGACTCGTTAGGGAACCAGTGATACAGGAAGATAATTTCACATTTAGTTCAGAGAGAAAAGAGAGGCACTGAAGGAAATCAGACTTGACAGGGTATGTGGGATTTAGGAGAAAACTGAATTTTGTGCAGAGTTTTGAGTGGATTTCCATGGTGTAAAGCAGAGGAGGTCAAGGCTGATGAGAAGATGGAAGTCTGCTGGAAACCAGACCAACCAGGTGCTAATTTCATCTGTTTAGAAACAATACAAAATCTTTCCTTTGGAAAATTTGTGTAGGAAAATGAAGTGAGGTAAGAATATCTTAGTGTTTTGAGGGCTTGCGAAAGGTTTGCATTGAAGGCAATACCTGGGTCTGTGGTTTGAGTTACAGATGAGATGTGAATGTTACTTATAGAGACTGAAAAATTAATTAGGGCAGCAAGGTGGAAAATAGATGCTTAGATTTGTTCTTGCTGAGTGTAGAGTTATACCTGGCAACTCTCAAAGGAGCATCAATATAAAATTCACAGTGGGAGACTCTTTTTGGTGTACAGGCAAAGTTTTGTGCAAATTATGTCAATGAAAATCCTCTTTTTGTCGTTATTACTTTTGCTGATTTTTGTTCCCTGAAAGGAGCAAAAATTACCGTTTATGGAGTTAATCACACAAGGCATGCCCACATTTTATCAGACAGTCCAGTTTTGGCAATGGAATTTCCTTCCAAAGAGAACATGTGAATGAGGGTGTTACTCATACTTCTTGATACTGTGCTTTGACTTTTGGATCCTGTTATATGCTTGAGATCAGAGCTGTCTAAAACATTTTCAAACACAGTGAGAGGTGGGAAAATACTGCACAAAATAACAAGTAATTGTGAAAGCTAATGTAGAAAATATGAAAGAATAGCTGAGACTTCCCTAAAGCCTTTTATATTTTTTTTTCTGGATACCTACAGGTTAATTTGGCTGTGCCAGTAACATGCTTTTCTTTGTTTTCTGGAAATTTACGTTCATGAAGAGGTCTCATAGAACATACTGGAATGTCAACTTGGAATCAAATAACTTCTGAACTTCAGGTAAAAATATAAGTTATGTTGATGATTTCATCAATGGGAGGATGTCAGTTTGTTTTTCCTAGGACTCAAGACTATTACAAACACAAAAAACACATTAAAAGACAAAAACACATTTTAAAAACCCTCTAGTTCTTTTTCAGATTACAAATGTGGTTATTTTTATAAATTTACTTTTATATGAAATGTTCCCAGTGTAAGAGCTGCAACCAATCTGTTGAATCCTCAGGGATGATGCCCTGTGCTGTCACTGTCTTCAGGGACATGCTGTTGCTTCTGATGTTGTGGAGACAGAATGAAAGACACTGCTTTCATCTTGCCTCAAATAAGTAAAAAATTCAAATTCTGAACTGACAGTTCTAGGCTTGCAGTGTATCTGTAACATTTCTGATTTCTCCTATATGTGTGTATATATATATATATAATTCAAGTTCAATCATTTTGGGACAAGCGCTATGACAAAGTCAGGTGTGCAAAGCTCTGAAAGAGCTGAGGTTTTTATAAAAAGAAGATGCATAATGGTAACTAATTACTTGATAGGAGCCCTTGTAGTGGTGCTGCATTTGTGTGACTGGGCTAATGCATTAGGTGCCAGCAAAAAACCACCATTTTCACATTTTCTTGGGGCAAATTTAATACCTGCAGCTCTTAATTTTAATGCTGTAATTGGATTTTTGTTGACTTCCAAAGTAGACCAAGGTGGATTTTTTCTTTTTAGAAAGTGCCTACTTTCAGGAAATGCTAAATGCAAACAAAACAATCTGTAAGGGTTTGGAATGTCCTGAAAAGAGGCAGCTGAGTAACCTCCTTGTCAGCATGAAGATGCAAACGTTATCACCAGTGGTGGAAAAAAAGAGAGGATTGCACATCCACATCCTATCCGGACAAACAGTGCACATTTCCTTCAGCTAAATTGTACATGACACCAATCTAAATCCAGAATTCCAGCGCTATGAATATGAATTTCCTCAGTGCTTGTAAACATCTTGGTACAATATTAGTGCCATGCAGCTGCAAAACACTTCAGAGATATGCTTGACAGCCTAATGTAAGTTAGACCTGAATATGTTAAAGCCTAATGCTGAGCTAGAGTAATTGATTTGGCTGTAATTGGGCATCTGTTATTAAATGTAAAATGCTGGTGACTTTTGAATACCAGCTCTGCTGTATTTCTTCTTCTGGTGTTTTCCCAGGTTAAAAAAAATTATAAAAGGATCAATCCCATATGAATATTTTTTAGATTTTCTGAGCCACTGGCTCACAAGACCTGCTTGTGTACAATGAAATTAGTGGGGCTCCTTTCCAACACGTGTTAAATTTCATATTTCTATTTTTCTAAATGGCTTTAATTTGCTGCAGCTTCCATTGATGGCATTTAATTTTTTTATACACAGGAACACTGTGATCCCTTTAATAATAGATATGTATGATAGTAACAGCATAGACCATGAACTTATTTTCATTTTGCATGTTCCACTATCTTAAAATCTGTGAGTTTAAAAGAATCAAAATATATATTAATACCTTTGCATTAAAACCCGTGTACATTTTACTGTCATTCAGCTTATAGCTAAAGGCTGCAATCTTTTATTAAAGCCTTTTATATTTTATATGACATCCTAAGGGACCTTTATAGATGAAAAATGGGTCAAACAAAGGGATTTGATGAAACCGCCATTCATTGTGGGCTCTGTCAATTTTTTTTTCCTTTTTTGCTCATCTTTCAGCTGGGGCAAAGGCAGACCTTTCCATTTAAGGCAAGCTAATGACTGTTTCAGTTTCTGACTTGTAGTGCTCTAGGACGTTACAGCATTCCAGCTGCAAAACTGCAGATGCCTATTTACTTTGGGCTAAAAAATATAAAGATATAAAGATAATTTATTAATTAAATATCCAGTGTTGCATTTGATTTGAGATTTTTTTTTAAGATTAATGTTTTTTTTTTTTTTAGTGTATATTTTGAAGGATGTATGTCCAGAGGTACAAACTGTTCTGGTGCTATGCATATAAATTAACAATTTCAGTTTTACACTAGCAAAATTATTGACCATAAAATTGACAGAACAGGCACATGACTGAGTTGGAAATGTTTCCATACTTCTAAGCTGAAATGCCTCGCTGATTTACCTTTTTGTGATTGATTAGAACCCCTTTGAGTCTAGCTATCTGTCCAAAGTGTACTAAAATAATGTGGACAATGAAAGTTGTGAAAGAACAATAGGCTGTGAAATAAGCTGCCATAGACAAGGGTGTGTGTTAAAACTATGCTGATTCAACGAGAAAAACCTTCCAGGAAGAAAAATCCTTTCAGCATTACAAAATCCATTGAAACATTTCATTTGAGGAATCTGCCTCACCTGTTTGAAGGTGCTCAAGCACTGAAGGAAACAGCAAATGTATTTTCTTTATTTTTGTTTTGTTCTTTTCGGCTCTGCCACTGGTGAAGGGTCTGAGGAGCTTTGGGCTGACTCTCTACAACCATTTGTACATTTGAAATGTTGCTCATATTCTCAATGTTATGGGATTTTTGTATTCTGACCTTACTGAAATGCACTTACATAATGACACGTGAAGCAGTAGCATATGAAATAGTTTGGAATTACATTCATTTAGTGACTTTTGGTGACATTTAAAGTGTAATGCCTTTAGTCTTGAGCTTGGTTTTGCAGCTTGAGAACACAGAAAACACAAGGCAGACAGTATGCCAGTGGGCTTACAATCAACTCATAAATATAAGGACTGCATGTTTTTATTATTGCAGGAAACAGTTGGCACATTTGACATTAAAAAATCTGGTTTGTTTTTTTTTTTTCTTCTCTTTTTTTCAGTTCTTGTTGGAATCCAAGAGATTCCAAATCAAATATAATGTTTTGGGATAACTCAAATAATTTTGTCTTGCTGCCCAAGTATAACTGATACCTGTTCCCCACATCTGAAATGCTGATAAGCTTAGTCTTAAAGAGGAAATGCACTGTTTTGCTCCGAAGTGGCTTTATCTGTGCAACTCTGACTGGAGAGTCTTCTCATTCTCTGAATCCATGGCTGCTTCTCAGTGCTTCTTTGAAACTGGCTTTTAGGGCTGGAAGCTTCATGTGCACTTGCTCAAATTTGCATTTCTGGAAAATTACAGCCTAATTCTTCCACCTTGGATCAGGGGGCTGTGCTTATAATGGTAGGTGGGGGTAACCTGGGAGATCCACAGAAGGTATAAAGGTATTTGATGAAAATGATGCTAATTAGCCAATGAACTTCACATACAATGAAGTTTACAATTGTAAACTTCACATTTTTGTGTTGTTTGTTTATTGTTGGGAGAGTTTGGTATGTGTAAAATTAAATTCTCCACTGTGCTCCTTGTTCAGGTGGACACAGCTGATTTCTATGCATTTGCATGTATTGAACCTTACTGGGCTACGTGTTGGTTTTCTATCGTTTCATGTTAATTCAGATTTAATCTAGCAAGGAAAAGCACTCAGGCAATGCAACAGGACTTTAATAAATGTGTGGATCATGCCTAGAATTTAAGAAAATGCAGCAAAGGCGATCTCTCAGGTGGTGAGCAGCTCTCTGTCCTCATCCCTCAGGCAGGAGTGTAAGAGGGGTGTGACAGAGCATTTTGGCTGTGCTTATTTGATATATTCCTCTAGGGGCTGTAGCCAGCTGGTACCTGTTAGTGTCCTTCAGCCTCATCTAAATAACTTCAGGGAATAGAATGGTACAGAGACTTTCTTTTGGTAACTTTCCTCTCGGTCATTAGTGGGACAAGAGTAACTCTGCAGGGCTGAAACAGTAAATTTAAGGGTTTTTTTTAGTTTTGAAGATCTGGGAAGCTTGCCTAACATATTAAAGATGGACAGAAAGGTGATGGGTGTGCCAGGATTTTTTGGGTTGCATTGAAAGTAGAACTGTCTGAAGTGCTTTGGCCAGCAATGCTTTTACTCTGGTTGGAGTAACCAGCAAACTCAGACAAGAAGCTGAGGCTTTGCATGATCTACAATCCTCATCCTTTGAGTTTTCTAGAACTCATCTGTTGTTACTTTATTTATAATGATTCATTCCTGTATGTAAAAAATAAAAAAAAAACCCACAACCAAATTCTGAAGTGACTGCACTATTTTAATCTTATCCCTCACTGTAATTTCAATACAAAATAAGTGTGGGCAATTACAGCACTCATTACCCATCCTGTCACTTACATAATCTTGTATCTTATGGTGTAGATCAAAAAGAGACTTTGCTTTTGGCTCAGGTGGATTTGATATCCCCCTAATTTATAGGAGCATTACTCAGGATAGCCTGACACAGCCCTGCAAATTGTTTCACACAGCATCACTTTCTCTTGGATCAGATATTTCTTTTCAATTTGCATGGAGAATACCTCATCTAAATTTATTGCTCTGGAGACAGGTGAGCCAGACATTATCATGACCATACTGGGTGCATGTCTCTGCCTACTGGTTTAGAGGGACCATAAATTAATTTGCCATTATTAATCCTATCTTGGGAGGCTAAATAGAATTTAATTCTAGTGAGTATTGCAAGCAGTTTGCTGCATCAGGTTTACTTACAGGTTTATGGATACATTATACAGTCTTGTAGATAGCACAGAACAGCCTGCTTTGCCTGTCTTTACTCCTGGATTTGAGTAGCTTACTGTCAAATAAGAAAGACAAGCTGAAATATATATATATACACACATATACATATATATATATATATATATATATATATATATATATATATGTATATGTATATATATTGTCGTTCATGATAGTACCAGGCACCTCAGCAGAGAGCTTTTTCTTTGTCTCCAGTTCTGCTAGTGCCAAATTCTGCCAAGGTGTTTCTGCTTCATGGCTTTTATTCCTCATCCCCCAGCTCAGCTTGGGCTGGACTCAAGTTCCAACCTGTGAATACCTTTAGTTTAATTCAGTATTAAAAAGCTCATGTACAAAAATTGTACATTTTGTACAATTCCCTCTCTTCAAAATGCAGGCATTTAT